CCCCCCCCCCAGGCCGGGCCAACGTGTGATGACGCTGCGACCCTGCGCGTGTGTTTGTCCGTCCCAAATGTCCTGTCCTGTCCTCCCTCTCCTCAAGCCGCCTCCGGTTCTTGTGCAACAGGCGCACGGCAAGAGGCCAGGGTACCCCCCCTACCTCGTATGTCTGCACGCGTCGACATACACGTGCGTCGGTCTCCGTAGGCAGATGTGGGCGGCGGGAGGTGTGGCAGCGGATTGGCGCACCAACCACACCTGGTGAGGCGCCGGGTGCCTGCCCTGCCATCCACTGATCTCTGCAGCCCGCGGAATCGTCGGCAGCGACGCACGCCAGGAACCTGAGGACCCGCCACCGGCCTTGGTGCAGCTAACCTGGAAGGCACTTGCGAACTGTAGCCTCCTCCATCCCGCCTCCACATGGCAGATTCAACGACAGGCGCCTGGCTCCTTTGGTCACGGCCACCACCAGAACCACTCACAACCAAGAGCCGCCGGCACTCCCAGAGTGAACGAACATGATCGGAGCGCGCAACAACGACGACGTCAATGACGCGGCTCAGCAGCCGCCGTCAACATACTCACATCATGCAGCGGATTGGCAGAGCCCGACGGTCAAGCAGCTCATGTGCGTTGCCGCAGACCCGCCTGCCCGCGCCCGTGGTGCCAGGCATCCACGTGTCCGCGGCGCCCTGCGGCTGCCAATGTGGTGTTCGATCCGCGGCCCTGTATGCCCGGTGAACGAAGCCCAACCCGACGCGGAGCTCCCCCTGACTTGACGAGGCGAGCCAGATGCCCGCTGAGCCTCTGGATGAGTGCTCCGCAGCTCGATCAAAGATTGCCATCACTTTCATTTACTTAAAGTTGTCTTCCCCCTTCCCAACCCCGGCCGCCGCGAAAAGGCAAATACGTAGTGATGCTTTTCCCAAGGCCACTGGGGCCGCGCCGCAGGGTTTCAAGTCCCCAGGCGTTTGGTTTCTGAGGCGCTTCACCTCCTTCACCCTGTAACACGCAGCCCGGCTGTACGTAGAAAGACGGAAGCTTCCGCTTAGATCGCCCTGGCTAGGGAGAAACGCAAGACGCGAGGAGAGCTTGTGCGCCGCTCCCCCCCTGGCTGAGGATGGTGGAGCTTCATCGCACATTTGTTGGCGTTCGGCCCTGGGCCCGTGGGTATCGCAGGGTCTCAACCGTCGGGTCGGCGGGGCCGCGACAGATGACGGTGGGTTCCCGGACTTGGTTCCCTGGAAAGGATGCCCGGTTATTTCCTTCGATGCCAGCCATACAAACTCGTATACTGTCCCTGCTGCAGTGATGGCTGCTCATGGGCACAAAGTTGCCATTGCTGCGGTCCGAGCCCCGCGCGTTGAGCCGAGGCAGCCATGAGGGACGTCACGCATTTTACCCTCGGAGGTTGTGTGCATCAAGCGCGGCGGGTGACGCCAGGAACTGCTAGAATGTACAATGCAGAATATCTCCGTGCGTGACGGCCCAGCGGTTGCCGAGCTTATTTGGCAGCTTGGCTCGCAATGCACACGCAAGCTTGGGTTGGCTGCCAACCTCGGTGACTGTTTGCTGCAGACCGGACACGCGCCCAGATGTTCGAGCGGCTCAACAAGGCGGCAGCCGCCAGGCTCCATCGCCTAGTACCGTGACGATGTGGCGAACGCGCCCTGGGACAGCCCCATTCCCACTTACCGGTTGCCGATATCTTGAGGCTTGGGTGCCGATTCTCCGATGCAGTCATCATCGCCGCTGAACAGGGCATGGCGGACGACTTGGAAAGAATTTAAGCCACCCAAATGCACTGGTTCTGGCGTCGGTCGTGGGCGCCACCAGCGCGTAGGGCAAGGCAAAGCCGAGACCTGATGTTGAGGCTGCCCCTGCCAGGCACTGAGATGCGTGGCCGAGGCCGGCCAAAGTGCCAGAATGGACTGGACCGACAGTCAAGGAACCCCGTACGTAAAGAGGTCGCACCCTCATATCAGCGGCCTGAAAAAATGCTCCGCCCGCCTGGCCTCCCGCCCGCTGGACGGAAAATGGAAGACTGCCGGTGCTGACACACCCGGCCGGCCCCAGCGCCGCCGCCCAGCAACCCCCCTCAACCCTGCGGCGACGGCGGCGGGGCCTGGGCAGGCTGTCTGGGCTTGGCTGGGCTGGGGCAGCCCGCTGCGTGTGTCCTGCGTTCAAGGTTGTCTGCCTGCCCGCCTGGGGGGCCCGGGGACTGTAGCCGCCACAGCTCAGGGCTGGCCCGAGTCGTGCGGCGTGAGCCCACCCACAATGCGCCCACACGCACGCCCTCTCCCCCCTTCCTCACCCCAGCGGGCAGCAGCAGCCTGAGCCACGCCCCCTCCCCTTCCATCGCCTTCCCATCATCCGTCATCATCGTCGTGGCCTGCGTGCGGCTCCACTCCCTCGCATCCCCACACCAGCCCGCGCCGCCGCCGCCGCCGCCGCCGTCGCCCAGAAACAGCACAGAGCACGGAGAGCCCAGCGGCCCAGGCAAAAAAAGAGATGCCCCCACACGAGGTCCCAGTCCCAGTTCGTCTCCAACAGCAGCAGCGGCTCCACCCTCTTCTCGGTCTCTCTCCTGAGTCGCCCCAGACGCCCGCTGACGTGCCACGCCCAGCCGCCGACGGATCTGGCCCTGCGCTGCGGTGCGGGCTGCCTGCAGGCGCAGACCCCCAGGGGGCCCGCCCGCCCAGGAAGGTTCCTGCCCCAAGCCCTGGCCGGCGACGGTCCCTGTCAAGCCCATCCTGCCCTGTCCGACATCCGCAGAAGCCAACCTTGGGACACCAGCACCTCCAGCGGCGGCGGCGGCGGCAGCTCCAGCAAGTCATCAGGCGGCTTCTGAGACGTGCGGTTGCGTCGCGTTGGCGTCCGTTCGTCTCCACATAGCTCCAGGACGACAGAGCCGCTGGAGGGCATGCCCGTCTCGGCGGCGGTCCCACAGCTGGAAGCTCAAGCTCACGCACGCTCACGAGGGCTCACGACCTGGCAACGCCTATCCATTGTCACGCCGCCGCCGCCGCCGCCATCGCGCTGTGACACCCCAACTGAAAAAAATGCTCGCAAGAAGGGGGGGTTCGAAAAAGTGACACACAACCACCATCCACGCCATGTCGACAGCCACGAGCAGCGCGCCAGCGAAGCACGAAGCACGCCTGGCTCTTAGCCCTACATTGGCCTCACCCGGATCGTTCGATCTCGACGTGACCGAATGCGTCAATCGCACCGCACCTCAAGCCTCGGTGACGCCTCCACACCCACGCAGCCAGTGTTCCTTGCGTGGAGAAGCAGCCACAGCTTGCCCTGTTCGTTCGTCACTTTTCCATGGGTATGTACGACGTGCTGGCACAGCACCTCATACCCGACGGCGCACCCGCTCCCGTGCCGGAACATCTCACGGCCTGGCCGTTGTCCTTCCCCTTGTTTATTTCCGCCAGCTTCGTGTGGGCGACTGACTGACCCGCGGGCGGCTCATCACGCCTCGCACCCCAAAAGCCGTTTGGGAAATGCTACGAATTCTCCGCACCCCAACAGTCTCACCGCGCTCGAACGCCGGGCCAGGGGCCATGCAGGTCCCATCTTTTGCAGTTCTACGGGGCCCGGTCACAGCGGGCAATAACGCCTGCAGCGGACCAGTTCCACGTCCAAAAAACCGGACTTGCTGCTGATGATGCCTCGCCGAGGCCAGCGGCAGGCCCCCTTCCCCAGATCCCCGAGGCGCACCGCGCATTGGGTGGATAGATGTTCTTTCATCAAGCGCAACCTTGCGCGGGCATGTTGCATCGCGCGTTCGTCGGCGGCGACCAGGCTAGGCAATTGCGTTTTTGTTGGCGCCCGATCACCTGCGCATCGGCGTCCGGTCCCTGGCCTTGCCTGCCTGCGTCGAACGCGGACGGAACCCCTGCAAGCACATCCATCGGCTCTGGGGGCGCGGCGCGGCCCACCTCACCTCCATGGGGGTGGCATGGGACCCGTCAAGTCGGGGCTTCTTCTGGAGATACACCAGCGCAGATAGGGTCAGGGTCAGAGGCGAGAACGGCCGGCGGACTGGCCGTGGTGCGCAGCAGGTGCGCCATGCCCTGCTGATGGGCCTTCGATGAGCCATCGACGGGTGATGCCATGTGCGTGTCTGCGACGTCTGCCCGCCCGCTCCCACCTCGTCACGGGCCGCCCGCCATGCGTGACGGCGGCGCATGCGCATGCGAGTAGGTACCGTACACACGTCCTCGTATATCCTCCCCCGTCCTCGATCCGTGCTCGACGAAGTCCCGTATGCCTCTGCCTCTGCCTCTACCTCTGCCCATACCCTGCCCTGCTCCGCTCGGCTGCTCTGCGCCAAAAACAAGGGCTGCTGTGGGTGCGACCCAGACCCTGGAATGCCAGGCCGCCAAGGCTCAGTGTCTCACCGTGTAATGACCTGCCACGGGGATGTTTTGGGGGCGCTTGGGATGTGCATCTGCCGTGTGTCCAGAAAAGATGCCTGTACGTAGGTAGTCAGACTGTGCTGCGTGCCACCAACAGCCCGCACACAGGGGGGGAAGGGGGTTCGGCGTGGGCACGTTGACACACGGTCGACTTGCCAAATGCAACGCCCCAGACATGGAAAAAAACCCTTGTCGGCGTTCCAGCCACACATCGTCAAGCCATGCATAATGAATCTGGCCTGTCACCACCGCCTCACATCCCCGGTACGCAGAGCACCAGCCACAGCAGCGCCCACCCATCCATGCGTCCGGTCGCATAAAGACGGTTCGCCGTCGAGGCGAACGAGGGCCGACGCGGGAAGCCCAGCCCCAGGGTTTCAGGGGCCGCCGAGCTCCCTGCGTCATTCCCCCCGGTCCCCCGTCTCCGTTCCCCAAGAACGACGCAACGCACAACGCAGCCAACGGGCTTTTTTTTCGCTTGTCGCAGCAACAACTCTCCCCCCCCCCGGCCAATGGTGGCATTGGAAACGCTTCAGTTGTGGCTGTTTCCATGTACGTACACGTACTTGCCTACGTACTTGAAAGCCTCCCCGATCCGCTGGCGTCCCCAGGGCTCCACGGAGCGGAAACACTGCACGATGGGTGCATGGGATGGGATGGGATGGGGATGCGGACAAGGCCTGCGAGGTGAAACGTGGGTGAAGGCAGGACGCCAGATTCGGCCGGTTTCGCGCGCGCCTTTTCCTCGCTTGTACGTACATAATACCGTTTCGCTCGTGATGCGGCGCCACTGCGGCAGACGACGTTCGCGGCGGCGCGGGCGACGATCATCACCCCCCTCCCCCCGGGCCGTTGCGATTGTTCCTTTTTGGACGCGCGCGCGCGCGAGCGCGCTTTCCTTTTATCGCGGCAAGATGGGGGGGGATGTCGTTGCGGCGTGAGTTCTATTGGAGAACATTCGATATACGGAGTGCCCGCCACCCGGATAAAGGCAGGCAGGTAGCCAACCTTACCTTACCTTACCTGCCCGGTGACAAAAGTATCCCGGCCCCGTATCTCGAAGATGTAGTAGGTAGAACTCAAGACAGAACCACCCTGAGATCCGCTCTCCAGCCAGCCACCCCGGGGAGCCCGGTTTGCTTTCTTGCTTTGGCAGACATCATACGATGGGCGAAGCAAGCGCGGGCTTGTCGTCTTCCTTTTTGATTTTCGTCCTTGCTTCTTGGCCTCTTGTCCTTTGTTCCCCGATGCCATTTTGTACAACAAGCGTGTGGCCCAGTCTCTTGGGCGGGAGCTGCTGCGTCACGCGGCCGTGACTGGCAAGGCGGTGTCTCAATTGCAGCACCATGTGTCTCCGGGCACTGGCAGAAGACCTGGTGGACGGACATTAAAGTGCGTGCGGTGCGGTGCGGCACGGCGCGGGGCGGGACGCAGTTTCAGCACGGTTGTGATGAGGATGGTGATGATGGGTGACCGGGGCGGGGCCCCCCGTGCCGACGGATCGCTGCTGTCTTGGCACGGTTGCAGCGACAGCTCATCAGCTTCCTTTGTGCCTTACCTACCTACCCAGCTCGGACGCTTAAAGTATGTAACCCAGACACATCTCAAAAATAGCCACATGGGCTCCGGATGAGCAGCGTTGCAATTGTTACGACTCGCAAGCCGTTTTATCCAACTACCCTGTACCACCGAGCGGGTAGCAACGACTTGCAATATCTACCTACTATCAGGCGGGAGGCCACCACCTCGGGAGTTACACACATCACTCTTGGACGGTATGTCTTCTATTGCTCGCATTGCATTGTCGCTAGGAATGAAAATGACCGCCCACCTATCCTCTGCTTTCTCAGACCTCGGCCCACTACGTTACTAGGTAGGTAGCTTGCCACACGCACATCACCTTCCATACTCTGACCCGTGGGTATCCTCATACTAGTGGAACATAGGAAAGCCAAGCGCAACCAGAACACGGAACCTTACACATGAGCCCCCGATGCTTTCCCATCAGTTCTTGCCAGGCCCATCGTCATGGTCCGGCTCGAACTTGGTCTCGCCGAGCAGCTGCCCCGGCTGCGACGTCATGGCCGTCTGGGTGCTCGACTGCGGCTGCGCCTGGACCGTCGGCCCCGAGGGCTGTACGGGGGCCGGAGGAGGTGCCCTGCTGGCGGCGCCGGCCGTCGCGGCGTTGAGCCTCTGGTCAAGAGCTTTGAGGGCGATGGCTCTCCTCCGCTCCGCCTCCGCGCGGGCGCTGCCAGGCGTGCCCCGCTGCAGCGCCCTGTCGCCGCGAGCGGCAGACATGTCCGCCTGGGAGAAGGGCGTGCAGATGCGCACCGCGACGAGCACATCGAAAATCTGATCGGCCAGTGCGGCCACAAACGGCTTGACCGGGCTGGGGAAGAACTCGGCAAAAGCAAAAGTCTCGCTTGCGTCACCGCGCAGGGACGCCGGCTGCGACGAGTCGAGGTCGGGGAAGACGGTCTTGTAGAATCGCAGGTACGTCCAGCTCGTGAGGAGGCCGAACAGGGAGAGCCAAAAGGCTGCCCGCGACAGCAACGGCGTTAGGGAGAGCAGCGTCACGATGCCCATGTACACCAGCGGGAACCGCGGCACCCTGAGAGACAGGATGCCGCGGAAGAGTGTGACGGTATGCGCAGGGACGAGCTGGCTGAAGGCGACGAGGAAGGAGATTTGGAGGGACACGGTTCCCGATATGACGGTAAGACTGCAGACATACGTTAGCTCGTAAGTGTCGTCGCGTATGTGAGGCGGATTGAACGTACGTCCAGCTCTCGTTCCGAGTCAAGCTGAAGAAGAAGATCATGACGAGAAAGGTCAGGACGTTCGGGACCAGGCAGACCAGGACCACAAATTTCGCGAGCTCGGCCGACGACCAAGCCCGCTCCAGGTACCGGCCGCCATGGTATAGTGTCAGGCCCGCGATGGCGAGGGTAAACACGTTGCCCTCGACGAGCGCCGATGTGAGGAAGGTCCAGGGATATACAAGGGAGAGCTGCGGCACGAGCGTCAGGTAGGGGATGACGATGTGAGCCGTCTCTGTCCACTGTCGGTACCGTATCGCGGCGCTGAGGAAGGACTGGAAGAGGAGCGCGCCGAGCAGCGCCCTTGTGACGGGCGGGATGTTTATTCGCGGAGGCATGTCGGGCGAGCGGGCGTAACGGGCAGCGCGCTTCGCTGTGCTAAGATGTCATCCGTCCGGGGAGGGTAGCTGGCCGTCGCGTAGCTCGGTATCGTGGTGGCCAGCTTGGCGTCAATGAGGTTGGGAGTTCGGGGGCGGCGTAGTCCGTAGTCACGAGCAAGCTCCAAGGTACAGCGAGGCGCACAGGCCAGTCTAGCCACATTGAGCACACGACGGACCCTTGTTGCAGCCTCAGGCAGAAATAGTTGGAATGGGGAGCGACATAAAGGAAGCCTCGGCTCGCCGATTTTTGCGAAGAGACGGGACATTATCCTTGGCCGCGAGCGCAATGACGCGGTGACATGAGGCAACATGCCAGAATACTCGCTGACAAGGCGCCGAGAGCTTCTGGCTTTCCGCGTCACTGAGGCGCTGCCGGATCACGCTTTGGCGATGCAACCTCAGTCACGTGATCAGCGATCTCGAAGAACGGACTCGGGACGGCAAGAGGCATGGCACCACGCAACGGCGCGGGTGGAGCAGCCACAAGTTAGCCGCTTCGCGCGTGTCCGGGCCCCCATCCGTCCGAACTCGAACTGCCACGGGCAGCCCGTCCCAGCAGCCCCTCCGGTGTGGACTTCAATGCCATCTCATGTCAAAGTAACTGTACTGTACCCTCCTGCGAAGCAGCGCACGTCGTTGCGTCGAGGCTCAACCAACAAGCGGCCTGGGACACGAGGTGGCGGCGGCGGCTACATTTTACGGCAACCGCGCAGTGGCAGGATCGGACGGACATTTGACAGGGACGGGGGGAAATGGAAGGAAAAAATGGAGGCTTCGCTGTCTGATCGTCCCAGCCAGGGCCCGGCCTGGGCGCTCGGGTGCATGGAGGGGGCTCCTTTTTTGATGAGGGATCGCAGCCGCCGAACGGCATGGCGCAGCGCAAAGGGGTCGCCGGAAACGCCTGGTGGGGAAGCGGGCAACCGCGCGATCGAGGCTGGCCACCTCACGCCCCGGACACGGCTGCTGCATCGCCGACGGCGGCGCCGCAGGGTGACATGTGCCGTACGTATCATGTATGCCCGCATGTTTGAAGGATAAAAACACGCGTGTGTGCCTTTGCGTGTGCATTGCGTTCGGCGGGCCAGGGCAGCGTCATCATGGTCATGGTCTCGGACGAATCGTGCCCATCCCTCTGATCCCTGTGGCCGGCAGAACCATGCCTGGTCTGGCCACGCTATCCCTGCAGATTTGTGCGACGACGCCTCCGGGGAGTTTGCGAGGCTCGCTGGCCGACATTGGGGGCACGGGACGCGCAGGTGGCGTCACCGCCCCGTGCAAGTGGTCGCAGATCGCTGGCCCCCTGGTGTTGCGAGGAAGCTGGGCTGGGCCAGTCGACTGCTGGGACACACGAGCGATGTTCGTTCCCAAGGTACCTCTGCCGGGCAGCGCCGCCGAGCCCCGTACGGCGATCGCAGGGCCGTTGTCGCGAGAAGCGGCCGTTGCATGGGAAATGGACGAGCGGCAGTGCGTCGCTTGCGCCGGGGCTGGGGTTGTGCGGTTCGACGGGGGGCGCAGAGGAGTGTGCGGGAGTGGTTCTGTTATGGATGAGCCGGGAGAGGGACTGTCCTGCACTGGTACGAGCGGTACGGGTGCCTTGCCCTGTGGGCGCGGCCAACTGGTGCCAATGGCACAGCCGATCTGCATCAGTCTCAGATTCCACAGAAACGCCTGGTTGGGGCCGGGTCTGTTTTAGAGGCCCGGCCAGCTAGCCCTGGCCCTGGGGAAGGAAGCGGAGGGCTGGAGAGGGAGGTGGTGCGTCGTGCAACCCGGCGCCTCCAATCACAGCCGGCTGTCAACGGGTGCGACACGGTTGGCCGTTGGCCCTGGCGGATGTGGTTTCTCCCCAGGTACCTGGGATGCCTGGTAGGAAGCCGCTTTGCCGCGCAGTCAGGATGAACCTCGAAAGCTCATACAAGGTAGTCCGCATTCGATGCAGACGCGACAGTCCTCAGTCCTCGCGAACGTATGCACAGAGTACGAGATGGATATTGAGCCTGCCATGGGCGGCGCCCTGTAGGAGATGCGACGCCATGGGGTGGGCAGGTTCGGGCGGACGGCGGACGGCGACGAACACGGCGGAGCACCCTTGGCTGATCCGAAGAATTCGTGGTGCTTGTCGACACATTTTGAAGAGGAAACCAAAGTACCTAGTAGTAATGGAACGTCGGTGTTCGAATTACCCGTGCACGAGCGTCCGTACCTCTGCAAAGTACGGTTGCGCTGCGGGCTGACCCAGCTGACAAGATGAGCTTCCCTACTGGTACGTCGCCTGCGTGCCTGAGTGCGCGTGTGCGTGCATGTCGCTGGGGCCGCGGGGATCATCGGCGTCTCGGCAAACGCCCGTCAAGCTCAAGCACTTTATCTCGCCTTGGCGTGACGGAGGGCAGCCAACGGCCAGCCCTGTCGTCACGCTTTCGCCCTGTCTCCTCGGTATGTCACCGTGGCGCGAGCGAGTTGCAGTCCTCAGTCCCGGTGGCATCCCGGCAAGCAGGAATCCGATGAGGTGCCCGCTGTGGGGGATGCAGGATTCGCGCGCGTGTATCGTCCGTACCGTACCTAGGGACGGAGTATTGCAGAAGCGGTCCGTTTTGGCAACTGTCGGATGGGATGGAAGGACTCGGGCGAGTCGAGGAACGAACTGCCGCCTCGTCCGCCGCCGCAGAGGGCGCTAGCGCCAGACGTTTCCGCTCCAGCTGCGAGCTAGCAGTTTTGGGTTGAATGGATGATTGCTCGATTGACGGCCCGAGGGGGATGAAGCTAGTTCGACGATGCCAGACGGCGTTGAGGATCCAAGCGATGAGGTTGCTCCGAAGGCAAAGTTGAATGGAAAATGCTGCCTTCATGGGGCAACGGTGACGGCCTCGCGCGTCCCGTTTTAGGTACCGGAGGTGGCGGCGGCGGGCACGGCGGAGGAGCGCCGAGAGCGAGTGCCGCGTCGAGACAAGGACGATTATGCGGCTGCTCGTGGTGGATGCGCGGATGTGGATGCTTGCTTGGCGGGTGTGCGTGCGTGCGTGCGTGCGCGCAGTCGAGCAACAAGCGTCAGCCAGGTCCATCGCCAGCACGCCGCCAGAGCCCCGGTACGTACCTCGGTCCCCAAAACCCTCCACACCTCAGGTGGGCTGTGGACCCTGCCATGCCCAGTGCCAATTGTGCTCCAGGGCTCTCCAGGGCTCCCAGGGCTGTCCGTTCCATGAGGTGCCCGTCTGGCACGCCCGCGCGCCCACCACCCACAACCTGGAAGGTAGGTGCGATTTGATGCGCCCATGCACCCATGCACCACCACCCTCAAAGGCACCCACCCTCCCGACAGGGCCAGGAGGCCCACGGCCCATGGGCAGTTGATCCCTCGCGGAACCTTGACTTGCTTGAGCACCCTTGAGCACCCTCCAAACTCGTTCCCCCCCTTGTCGCCTTAGCGCACTCCGGCCCACCACCCCCCGGTGCCAGTCGCCTGTTGCCAGTTGCCAGTGCCAGTCGACGAGCGCGAACGCCAGCGAACCCGACGAGTGGAGGAGGATGGAAGATGGGAGGGAGGGCAGGCCACCCGACGCGGCGATGCAAGGCCAGCCAGGTGCCAGGCATGCCAGGGTACCTTCCCGCCCGTACCTCCACGCCTGCAGGTGAGGTGCCTGTCCGTTCCTCCTTAAGCCTCCGCCTGGCTGTCTGGCCGTCGGGCGGGTTTTGGCCTGCCCGGGGCTGGATACCCAGCGGAAACACGCCGGGGGCCGGGGGTACCATCGCCAGGTGCCCGCCAGACGGGAGTCTGGAAAACAGCCCGGGCGAGCAAGGGACGGAGTACTGAGTACCAGACAGAGCACAACAAAGTATGGGGTACGCGCTGGGCCACAAGCCAAGGCAGGCGTGCCGCCGCCCCCAAGCCCCAAGTCCAGGCCCAGCTGGGGACGGGCTCCCGAGTACCACGGTACCTCTGCCGGCCACGGGGCATGGCAAGGTACCTGGGCTGCCGTACCTTGCCTTGCCTCGCCTCGCCTCGCTACGCAAGGCCTGGTGAGATGTGGATTTCATCTCGCGCTTGAATCTTCACTCACTCACTCACTCCCGCACCCTCACCCTCACCTCTGCCTCAGCTCGACGCATCTCGTCGTCGCCGCCGTCGCCGTCGACATCGTCGCTCCCTGGCTGCCGCCCTCCGCTGCGAGGCTCGCCGTTGTCGAAGCCCTCGTCCGCCTGTCGCCTCCCTCGACACCCGCGCCTCTCCACACCCCGCCCATCAGCCGCGACCCTCGCCAGGACACCGCCGTGACACTGCCGCCACCTGCGGCGCGCGCGCCTCGCAAACCATGGTGGTGAAGGAGTTCCTCGACTCGGATAGAGTCAACTTTCTCATCTGGAGGTACGCACGCCCCTTCGGATCGATCCCCCGGCGCCCTCGTCGTCGTCCTAGGCCGACTCTCTCCTTTCCCCCCCGTGCCTGCATGCCCCGTTGCACTGGCTAGGCCCGACGTTGATGGGGCGCTGCCTATCGGCGCCGTCCCCCGGCGAGACGTTATTTTTCGCTGACATTCCGGCACACAGGTATCTGTTGGAAGGGAGTACGTGGCACCCCGACCCCGAAATGCGTCATGACGCCAGCCTGGCAGCCCGAGCACGCTTCTAACCGCCTCTCACTCACTTTGCAGACTATCGCGAGACGGCCGCCAAGTTCCAGAAGGAGTGGCACGTCAAGGAGCCGCACCGGGATTTTGACTTTGCCCGCCACGTCAAGGGCCACGCTCTCGTCTCCGTCGTCAATCGCGGCCTCCTCTACTATGCCTTGGAGCGCGACTGTATTCTCAATCAGGTGCGTTGTCTCAGCTTTTTGCGCCGCTCTGCGCCTTGATCCGGCCTTGCGCGGCGGCCGCCGCGCCTGCGCAGGCGTCGGGCAATCTGGCCCTTGCTCATGCCCGTTTCCCGCTCCCCCTTACCGCGCTGCCGCGAGACGGAGACGCCGTTACTGACGGGGAGGACGTGCAGCTGCCCCAGGAGTCGACCGCTGCGGCCGAATCGTCGCAGGTGGGCATCTTTGGGCCTCTCACGGCGCCGCAGCTTCCTCCGACTAAGCGGGAGGAGGCCGACGACGCTGCAGTACCGGCCGGCGAGGATCCCGACGCGCTGAGAAAACGGGCGCCCGAGCAGCAGCAGGTGCCGAATGGGTCGCCGGCAAAACGCCCGCGCCTCAGCAATGGCTACGACAACGGGCCCGATGCAGCACCCCTCGCAACCGCCACAACCACCACCACAGCCACGACGCCTATGGACGTCGACCACCCGCCCCATCCCCTCGACGACCAGCAAAACCAGGACAGCGCCACCAATCACGCCTACCCGTCACCGCTCGAGGGCGAGCAGCTGCCGCCTCCCGTCCCGCAGACCGAGGGCCCCGAGCAAGGCACCCAGGTCGACAAGGTCGAGGAGCTGTCGCCTGTAACCAGCTTCATCCGCCTCACAGACGAGGACCACGGCGCCGCAGCCGACACGACACCATCGCCCTCGCCCGCGGGCTCGGAGAATGCGCCTGTCCTGCTTCAGTGCGAGTGGAACCCCAGAGACCCATCCGTTTTGGCGGCTGCTGGCACCGACGCGCTAGCCCGTGTTTGGACGGTTTCGCGTGCCACTGCGCCAGAGCCTGGCCACGATCACGTGTCACCCCAAGCCCACTCGCTCATCGACCAGAACGCACCCAAAGCGACGACGGTGACGGCGCTGTCGTGGACGTCGGACGGTTCGGCCATTGCGGTCGCAACCGATACTGGAACGCGATGTTCCGTGAACATCTGGTCCCCCGACGGCGTTCTTGGACAGACGCTCGACGTCAGCGAAGGGCCCGTCATCAAGCTGACCTGGAACCCGACCAACACGGCCTTGCTCGCCATTTACCCAGCAAAGGGGGGCGGCGCGATCGTCAACGTGTTCGCGATTCCGTCGGAAGCAACAATCACGTACCATCTCCCAAGTCATGACATCGCCGCTACGCCGCTCGATGCAGCCTGGACGAGCGACTCTGACTTTCTCCTCTGCGGTGGAGACCTCTTGCTTTGCCTCCGATGCGTGGACATGAAAATTGTCCAGGTTCGCAAGTTTGAGACCAAAGACGACGATAGCTTTACACAAGTGCTCTTTGACTGGCGGTCGAAGCTCGCCGCGACGGCAAGCGACAAGGGCTCCCTCGATGTAAGACGGCTGAACCTACAATGATGTGCTCTGATTGTTGATACTGACGGATTGGCTTAGCTGTGGGATGAGCATGGGCAGCGCCGATCAATACAGGCCCATCAAGGCGCCATCACGACGATGGCGTGGCAGCCACTGCCGCCTTCACAGCCCGAGGCCGACGACGAGCGCCTTATCGCAACGGGCGGCGACGACTGCGCAATCCTGATCTGGAATGCGCGAAAGCCCGAAGCCAAATCGAAATGCTTCTTGACTATGGATTCGCCAATTGTTCGACTTGCTTTTACGCCGGACGGCGCCTTTATTGCTGGCGCAACAACGCGGCAGGTGTTGATCTGGAAGGTGGACAACTTTGCCATGCCGCGAGCGAGCTGGAAGCGACCGCCGCACCCCGGGTGGCTTAGCCCCAAGGGCTCGTCCGACACCGACGAAGAAGACGAGCATTGTTTGTGTTGGGACATGAGCGGACAAAAGCTGGCCTACGGCTCCAATAGTAGAGTGAGTGGCCCGATGCTCGTTGCGATTGATGTGTCTGTTTGCTAACCAGTTCCGTGCAGCTTGCCGTCATCAACTTCAGCCGGTAGCCAGACGCCGCGTGGCTTGTTCGAGTGCCAGCAGGCTCTGTGCACATGCAGGCGGCTCACTACTGCCTGCCAAGATGCCGGCGCCGGTCGTGAACACGATGCCTGAGAACAGTGTTGTACGATGATGTACCGCATCGCTACCCGCGGCCCGAGGCGTGCCATGCCACAGGAGCACGAAAGGACGGCCGCGAGGGCCGAATAATGTCTATTGCGCTCCCGCGACGGCGGCCATGGTCACCGGACCGTTTGTGACGAGGCACGCTGCCAACGCGTTGTTTCTTTTGTATACCGACTGTGAGGCGCGGATCACGATCACGGATCAGGGTCGGATTTGGGCTAGGATCGTGACCTTGGGCCAGGTGACGAAGTGACGAGACTAGAGGACGTTTTGGAGTTTAGCTGCATGCATTGTTTATGCTTCGACACGGCGCGAGACCGTTGGCAGGGTAAAGCCATGCCTGGAGGTCCGGATGGGGGAGGGTTTCTGATCGGACTGTGCGATTGTCTGGAAGTTTAAGCGTGGGCACAGGAAAACGAAACATATGTGTCGGATAGTGTACAAGTATATACCAGGACGGCGCACAATACGAGGAGTCATTCAGCACATTTTGGCGGAGGCAATGGCTGTTGCGTGAGTGTGTTGGAAGCTTCCCGCACAGCTTTGTGGGCGCCGTATGTGAGCCACGGATCGGGACGCGGAGGCTTTATCGGACGGCCGATGGAAGAGGGGCTTCGGAAGTGGTGGGGACTCTTTCTCCGCAACGAAGAATGCACGTTGAACATATGATGGTGTTGGAGCGTTGCACATCTTGCGTCCCTCCTGCGTGGTGTAGTAGCACCTATGCGGACGTACGTACAGTGCGTGCGCACGCCACACGGGTTCATGCAGGCCCGCCCCTCAACACCCCCGACCCCAGAACTCGGGTGTCTTGTAACTTAGGTACCTAACTCCCAAGACTCTCTCAACTCATCTCACTCATCGAAAACCTCATACGTATCGCCCCGGCGAATATAGGCGCGCCCGAAGCCCGCAGGTTCATTGGCGCTTACGGCAGTCGTGCAGGCGCGACGGACCGCAGCTGCGCTCTCTCCGCTTGCGCAAGGTGTGAGGGCTAGGGGGGGGGATTCGTCCCGCTGTGGTCCAGACGAGAACGACGGACCTCGCACTGCTCAGAACTTCGCCTGACGAAGAGAAGACGACTCATCCGCCACGATCAACTTGATTCGATCTCCGCGGCCACACTCACTTCACCAACCCGCCCCGTAGTGAGGGCAGCGACGACGGCCGTTTGAGCCCGCTATCTGCGCAGCCTGCCAGCTAAATACCCCCAGCGGGGGAGGAGGACATCAGCGAAAGAACCTGGCCCCCCCCCCCGCGCCGACAGCCAGCCATGTCCTCGTCCGGGACCGCTCACCATCACCACGGCGCGGGCGGCAGCTCCTCCTCCGCGGCGACAGCAGCAGCAGGAGCAGCAGCAGGAGCAGCAGCAGGGGCATCCTCATCCACGCCGCACCACCACCACCACCATCCGTCCCCCTACGCCGCCGCCGCCACAGCAGCCAGCACGCCCGGCCCCGCGCCCATCGCGCGCTCCGACTCGGAGGGCGGCTACGGCGACAACAACGACGGTGACGACGACGACGACGACGACGACGACGACGGCGGCGGAGTGACGCCCGAGATGCGCGACCGCCAGGCCCGCGGCAAGGATCCCTACAAGGGGAATGGGCACAGCGACTTTGACGACGAGGAGGACGACGGGGATGGGGATGGAGGGGATGATGGGGATGATGATGAGGAGGAGGAGGATGATGAGTTGGAGGTGGGAAGCGATGGCGTGACGCGCAGGCGGATGAGGCTCGGAAGGGGGTGAGTTATCGCCCAGCACTCCCCTCGCCTGCTCTCTCTCTGAGGGCCACATGTCCCCTGGCCGATGTTGTGCGACACGTCCGGCTGACTCTACCTTTTTCTTTTTGGAAACAGCATCAAGGCAGAGCCGTTCGAGGACCGCGAGCGCAGAGGCTTCGCCCTCGCCGTGCTCGACAGCCCGGAGCAGCTCATGATGTACGCCCAGGGCGCCGGCGACGTGCGTTTCCAACCCCCTCTTCCCCCTTTCTTTCTTTCATCCGCCTCACATCAATCCTATTTCCATCCAGCTGACGCGAAGGACAAACCCACGCACAGAGCATCCCCAGCCAGCGCCGCCGCTTCAGCGCCATGCTCGCCGGCTTCGAGCCGCTCCCCGCGTCGGCCGATAACAGCCTGTCGAGCGCGGGGCGGTTCCGCCATAGGAAGAAGAAGACGCCGCAGCAGCAGGGACAAGGGCAGCAGGCGAGGAGGGACGCGCGCGGTGGTGGTAGGAGGACGGCTGGATAGAAGAAGGAGGGGATGGGCCGCATCGTGTGTGGTACGGGAGCAACAGCGTCGCGGCAGACGTTGTTCCTCGGATTCTTATTACGCCATGCATCATGGTAGTCACAGCAAGGACGGGCACATGGGTAGGCAGGCCGGTAGCATACGACCGCAATGACACTAATGAATCGTATAGTCATGACGCTATTGTCCCGTCCCGTCTCTTTCTTTATCCATCCATCTATCTGCGACGCGAGGCCGGGCCTCCTCCGACCCGGCCCCGGCTCTCGATACTCCAAGACGACGAGGAGCACCGCAACTATGTGCATACGTACAGGGTTGTACACAAGATTTGTACGAGACGAGGAGGCACGTCTCTGCCTCTGTCCTCGCCTGCGCGTCGTGGCTGCTCATAAACCCCCAAAGCGCGAGAGAAGAAGAATTCTCCGCGATCCTGTATCTCCCCATTGCCGATGCCACGGCGTTGTATCCCAAAATCATTCCCAGTGCCCCTTGCAAACGCCGGTGTGATGATGCCCTCAGGGAGGAAATAACCAAAGAGGTCTCCCTGTGTGTATCCAAAAAAAATAAGCAAGTCCCCCCAAGAATGAATGATGCCGCCTCCCCTTTTCCACTGGCGGTGTTCTATGCGTATCTCATGCTTCGCTGTCGGTTCAGCCACCTCTCCCCGTCGTTGGTCGGCGGAGGGGGAGGCGGGTACGGGTAATAACCCTGAGGAGGGCCCTGGCCGCCTTGAAGCGCGCCGGAGGACTGCGCCCATTGCTGGTTCTGGTTCCATTGTTGCGGCCCGCGGTTCGGTGGCCCGCCACGGTTGTATGACGACGGCCAGTTGCTCATCTCGGGCGGTGTGGGCTGCTTCCGGCGGTACGAGCGCTTGCGGATGGCGCTCACGATGCAGCTGAGGATGGCGATGAGGATGAGGCCGCCGACCACGGACACGACGGGGATGAAGATGGACTTGTGGTTCTGGATCCAGTCGCCAATCTCCTTGGCCGTCGACGCGCCCTTGCACGCGCCGTTGGAGCACTTGCCGCCGGCGCCGCAGTCGGTACCGTCAAGGAAGTTTTGGTTGTACGTGACGCACTGGTTGGGCCCCATCTCGGGAGACGTGCAGGCGAGCAGGCAGCCGCTGTCCGGGCAGGCCGAGGTGTTGTTCATGCCCGAGAGGCTGCTGGCCATGTTCTTGCACTGCAGGTCCCGCGACGTGCATTGTCCGGACGCGCACTGGAGGCCGCTGCCGCACGAGTCGCCGTCGCTCTTGTGCTTGTCTTCGGGGCAGCTGGCGTGGTTGCCGGGACACGTCTCCGCGATGTCGCAGACGCCCGTGCTGGCCCGACAGACGGTGCCGTTGGTCGCGAACTGGCACTTGTCGGTGCAGCAGTCCTCGTTGCTCGCGTCGCAGACGGCGCCGCTGAGGAACTTGCACGTCTTGGGGTTGCAGCACTTGTTGTCCTTGCAGCCGGCCTCGCCGCCGCAGTCGCAGTCCTCGCCGTTCTCTACGATGCCGTTGCCGCACTGGCTGCCCGTGATAGTCTTGACGTTCTTGTTGTCGGTGAGGCAGTTGCCCTTGATCATGTTGGACTTGAGCCCCGAGCAGATGTTGCCAATGCTGCACGCCGAGAACTGGGTGATGCCCTTGCCCGTCGACGGGTTCATGATGAACTTGCCCCCGGCGTCGCAGCTGCTGCTGCTCAGGGGACAGCATGGCTGCGTCGACATGTCCGCTGGACACGTGGAGCTTGTGCAGTCATGGACTGCGCCAAACGTGTGGCCTGTTTCGTGGGCAAAGATCTGCCACTCCGTGTCCGTCCGAACGACGACGTTGGTCGCGGCAACAGTCTCGTTGTTGCCCTTGCCATCGCTGTTATCGCCGGAGCCTGTACGGCACAGCTGTCCGCGCCACGCCAGGCCGACGGCGGAGTCCGTGGCGCATTTGGTGAGCAGCGACCAGTAGGCATTGTCGTCCTGGAACTGACCACGCCACCTGGAAAAGGTATTGAGGCGATCGCTGATGGTCGTCTGCGGCCCGCAGGCGACGTTCCACGGTGTCGCAGCCGCAGCGGTGGCGGGACACGCCTTGTCGAGGATGGTGAGGTTCTGGATGCCCAGTGAGATCTTGAAGGTACTCTCGTACACCTCGGACGCCTTGTTCACCATGCTGATGACGTTCTTGGTGAGGTCCTCCTTGTTGTCAAAGCCCTCCCAGTAATTGCAATCCGTCGCGATGCCGACAAGGGCGACCTTTCTCGTGGTGGGACATCCGTCGACGGAGCCGATGGAGCTGACGAGATTCAAGCCCGAGCCGCTACCACCACCGCCGTCTATGGATTGGCGACCAAACAAGGAGCGGAACTCGACAGCGCGCAGCACATTGCGGCTTTGCGTCTCGGTGTGAAACTTGCTGTTGAAGTTGAGGGTATCGGCGTTGCACAGAGGCTCGTCGCCAACGCTTCGCTTCAGCTCGTTGTGCTCGTCGGAGGAATCCATGACGTCCGAGTCGCGCCATACTACCATGCGTTCCTCGCCGTCGGAAAGGCTGTCGATGACAGGGTCGTCGTCGCCCCGGAGCTTCTGGTATTGCTCCGCCGTCTGAATGTGGTGGTTGTCGCCATCGATGCGGAATGCGCCGTCGAACACGGGGTGGTCTCCATCGCGATGGACCGTCACTCGTGCCCACCCAGCCTTGGACCAGCCTTCGTGGCCAGGCCGCTCGATAAAGGCATCGCCGCGGTATACCCTGTGTTCCGTCCTCGGCACCTTTTGCACCTCACGCACGATACCGTCCTGGCCCATGATGGTGATGGCGAAGTCATCGTGTAGAATATCGTCGTTGGGCTCGAGGGCCAGTCGTATGCTCTGGCGCCCATTGTGAAGGGTGAATGTGAGGTCGAACTTGGAAAAGGAGTGGACGCGGTGAGAGGGGGTCTTGATGACCGGGTCGTCGACGAGGGAGACGTAGCCGACGGGGTTTCGCTTGACAGAGTATGCTAAGCGTGGGAAAGGTCAGTGCGATGCTGCGGAGGGAGCAAGGCGCGGCGGCACCGCGGTCAACGGCGGCAACGGGACGTACCCAGCGACGAGTAAGCACACAGCGCGACGCTGGCGAGAGCGGACGCCACGGTCCGCAGCGTCACCATCGTCACGCCGATGATGGACAGAGTCCCCGAGGATGGGAGGGAGGAGGACGCGGCGCTACTGCATCCAGGCTCGTTTTCGTATATATGCTTCCGTCGATGGTGATCGCTAGAGACGGGGAGGGGCCAAGGTATGCGTCAACCCGGCCTGGAAAGGATAGTGAGACGGTGAGAAAAGCGAGACCGATGTTCGTCGATGGCGGGCTTTCCCTGCGGACTGCTGGATGATACGGTAGATACTGGAAGCGGAACAGCGCAGCGACTGCCGGGGGGAAGCTGCTTAAGAAAAGAAGGATTCGGGAATTTCGGAGGAACGAGGGCGAGGAGGACGAAGGGTCGCAAGCGAGAGACGGCCAAGACGGACGGACGAGCAGACGGGCGGGTTGTTGACGGAATCAAGGGTGGACGGAGGAAGGCTGAGCACATCCATCAGCGCGAGCGCCCAGGACGACGGGTCACCACCCATACGAGCAGCAGCGCAGCGCAGTGCAGCTGGAGCGAGAGCGAGAGCACTGCACACGCAGCATGGATGGTAGTGAGCGTCAGGGGTGGGGGGGAGAGGCGAGCGCCATGGACAGGATCCAATGGGAGGCGACGGGCAGGGAGGCTTGGCTGGAGGGGCCACGCGGTCGCGGGCTTCTGTTTCGCCGCTTCAGCGGGTGTTCGTCCGCGGATGGGGGGGCCCGGGGGGGAGAGGCGCCCCTCTGGGCCCCCCCTTGGCACTTGGCGGGCCGGTACCTAGGTAGTGTCTCCAGCCTCCACTGGCAGCAGCCAGCCCAGCCCAGTCCTCCCGTCCTCCTCAGCAGCATGGTCGGCGCCTGTGAGAGTCAGTCAGGTCGCCGGGGGGCATGGCTGGCGGGCAGGCTGGTGGGTGCGCTGCGCCGCATGCGGATGGGGAACGTCCCGGGACGCTTGGGTCTTTTTTGGCACGACGCCTCCTCTGCGACCCGAATCCGCCCAGCCATGGATAAGGTGGGATCCATCCGAGCATCCATGCATCTTTTCGGCGCTGCTGCCCGTGCTGCTGCGGCTGCGGCTGGCTGGCTGGTCTGGCGGGATTTGTCCGCAGCAGCGCCCGGGATTTCACTATTACTACCATCACCCATCTGGCAGGGTGAGTGAGAAAATCTCACCCGAAAAAGCCCATCCAAAATATTACCTGCGCCCCATGTGCTTCTTTTCATTTGTTTGCCCACCGCCCACTTTCCCATATCATCCCCAGGCAGTATTGTCCATTTTGTCCCGAAATAGGCGCCATAAGGCGAGGCGAGGCGAGGCACGGCAAGGCAAGGCAAGGCCACGACGGCACGCAGCCAGGCCGGCCGCCTAACCGGCCAACCACCGGCCGCTGCCACTGTGCTGCGTTGCGATGCTGCGTGTTGGCCGGGCCACTCCGCCCGCCTGCACGCAATACCTTCCTTACCGTACCGACAGACGGGGATTATTACGCCTGCTCACAAGCGACATGCCAGCCAGCCAGCCAACCACCTTCGCCAAGTGTCTTGTCCATTCGTAATCCATCCTGCCCTCTCCGTGGAGCGCTGAATGGCTGTAACTTGTCCCCGTCGGTCGCCGTGCCACCGCGTTTACAGTTGGCCATCCATGCCAACCCGCAATTCCTCGACAAAAGATGCAATGCAAAACCACAATGCAGCAGTTTCCTCTCGTCCCTCAGATTAAATCTCCTCACAGGATCTCTTCGAATGCACATTTTTTTTCTTTCTCTCTCATGCACGCTCGAGCCAATGTCCCAGCGCCCGGCATCAAATAACACGGAGGCTCGCCCGCCGGGAGGCTCAAACTGGAACTGTTTGACGCCTCATCCAGCTCCGGGCCCGCCAAAGGCCGCGGCCGTTGTTGCTGCTGCTGCTGCTGCGACCTGCATCTCGGCCGGCGTACCTCCACCATGGAACGCCTCACGCTCTCGGCGCGCTCCTGCCAAGCTCTCTCTCGTGCCGCACCACAGGCAATCCATGGATAAGGTAGCTATCGCAGGCATCTACCCCCGGAGGTTCCGTGTCAGCAGCACCGTCATCAGCACCAGCACCAGGTACCCATGATCCTTGGCACCGTAGACGAAGCTTTCCCATGTCTCGTACAGGGCCTTAAAGCCCAAAATAAAGCACCACCCTGTCAAGCCCATTGTCTCTCGACCGACCGTCGTGAGACCTACTGTGATCACGGCAGACATATCATCATCTAGCTCGCATGATTCCATCCGCTGTCGAGCCTGACCGCCAACCCCCCCATCCCCGCGCCCGTGTCTGACAACGCATCGAGTTCGGGGTCCTCGACCACCGGCCACACCACCAGGGTGCCGAGCCACGCTTGGCCTTCATCCAGAATGCCCCAAGTCCAAACTCTCGACCTCAAACACCACCTTCCAAGAGACCAGCCCAAGCCAATCGGGGAGTTCCCTGCCAACGCGGCGATGGTCGACTAATGCTCACTCACCTCAGTCCCGGCTCGTTCGTTGCTTTTCTGTCTCGAGAGAACCCACAAGCCACGCTTCCCTCGATGACGACGACAGTCTTCTGTCCCACCGCCCCGCTGTCCTTGGCCGGCGTCGCGAGGCGTCCCACGACTCGAGCAGGGCTCTGAGGGCTGCCTGCTTTTGCAGCGCCGTTTCTAAACCCGAACCCTAAGTCCGATACTGTCCATTCACCCATCGTGGCCCAGTGGCGAGACAGACATTCTTCCTCATCACTTGTTCTGTCACAAGCCGATCTGGGGCCTAACGCCAAGAGAAGCATGCACCCCAACCTTAAACACTATCCCAACGGCCGTCCCCATTGTCCTCGGTCATCCGGGCCCCACGTGGATTTGAGCTTCGTCAATTCTGAGAGCTGGCAGTACTATACTATTCACCTACAGAGATTCCGTCGCCGACTACTCGAGACTCCGTTGCGCGTCCAGCTCCGCCACACGATCCATGTGCTATCCACAAGACTTAACTCACATAGATCATGCAAGGCATGCCTTGGCCTATCCAAAAGGCCGACACCGACTTCGCTTCATATTCGTATATCAACAGCGTGCCTCGTCAGTTGGTCGTAACGCAATAATGGTATCAGCTCGTCAAATCAACCCGGATTAATCCCTCGTGGGTTTCGCTTTTCATTTTCCCTTGGCCTCGTGGACCGTCTTGATGATCTTGTCGACGATGCTGGGATCAGAGAGCTGCACAAATCATTAGCCCCTGGGTCCGTCCGGTTGCGCAGCCCGGATAACTTACCGTCGTGATATCACCCAGCTGATCCTCCTCGCCTGCGAGCACCTTTCTCAGGATACGGCGCATGATCTTGCCACTTCGCGTCTTGGGCAGATCGGGCACGACATAGATGGCCTTGGGAGCAGCGAAGGGGCCGATGCTCTTGCGCACCTGCATGATGAACTCCTTGCGCAGCGCATCATTGATCTCGTTGCCATCCTTGACGGCAACAAACGCGTTGACAGCCTGGCCGGTAAGCTCGTCGGCGACACCCACCACGGCAGCCTCAGCCACGGCGTGGTGCTCGATCAGAGCAGCCTCAATCTCAGCCGTCGACAGACGGTGACCGCTGACATTGACGACGTCATCGACACGGCCACGGATCCAGTAGAATCCCTCGTGGTCGCGGCCGGCACCGTCGCCGGTGAACTGGCAAAGTGTGTCAGTGACAGTTGCGGGCAACATCAGAGCACCCGTGAGGTAAACGTACATAGTAGCCCTTGTACACATTCAAGTAGGTGTCCATGTACCGCTTGTGGGCACCATACACAGTGCGGGCCATGCTGGGCCATGGCTGCTTGAATGCGAGCACACCGTCGACGTCGTTGCCGTGGATCTCTTCGCCAGAGACGGGGTCGATGATGGCGGGCTCAATACCAAAGAACGGCAGCGAAGCGGATCCCGGCTTGGTCGGGGTGACGCCAGCCAGGGGCGTGATGACGTTGGAGCCAGTCTCCGTCTGCCAGTAAGTCTACAGAACGTCAGTACTCACGCGTGTTTCTTTCAATTGGGGCAGACTCACGTCCACAATGTGCGACTCCTCCCTACCAACAACCTCAAAGTACCACTTCCAAACCTCGGCGGCGATGGGCTCGCCGACGGAGCCCAGGACTCGGAGGTGCTTCATCTCGCCCTTGACGTGCTCGTCGCCGGCACGCTTGAGCAGACGGAGGGCGGTCGGGGCGACGTAGAACTGAGTAACCTTGTGCTTGTCGATGATGTCCCAGTATCGAGAGAAGTTGGGGTAGGCAGGAGTGCCCTCGAAGACAACGGTCGAGACGCCGAGCAGCAGAGGCGCATAGACGACGTACGTGTGGCCGGTAATCCAGCCGACATCACCGCCACAGAAGTAGCGGTCGCCGTCATGGATGTCGAAGACGTACTTGCCGGTTATGGCAGCGCCAAGCAGATAGCCGGCGGTTGTGTGCATGACACCCTTGGGTTTGCCCGTGGAGCCAGATGTGTAGAGGAGGAACAGGGGGTCCTCGGCGTTCATGACCTCAGGGGCGATGTAGCTGGGCCACTTCTCAACCTCCTCGTGCCACCACAGGTCACGGCCGGCCTGCATGGGAACGTCGGCGCCCGTCCGCTTGTAGACAAGAACGTTGGTCACGTCGGGGCACTGCTTGAGAGCGTCGTCGACGATCTTCTTGGTGCCAATCAACTTGCCACCACGCTTGCCCTCGTCCGTGGTGATGACAACCTTGGACTTGGCGTCAATGACACGGTCGCGCAGGGAGTCGGCGGAGAAGCCGGCAAAGACGACAGAGTGGACGGCGCCAATACGGACGCAAGCCAGGATCGCGATGATGGCTTCAGGAATCATGGGCAGGTAGATTGCGACAGTGTCCCCCTTGCGGACGCCCATCTGCTTCAGAGTCCAAGCCGTCTTGGAGACTTGGCGCAAGAGCTCGCCGTAGGTCACGTTGCGGCCATCTTCAGCCTCGTCCGCCTCGTAGATAATGGCGACACGGTCGGGGTCTTTGAATGCATGGCGGTCAATGCAGTTGTACGAGGCATTGAGCTGGCCTTCGACAAACCACTTGACGTCGCCATCGGTGAGAGAACCGCTGGAGACGGTCTCGAAGTCGCGGTACCAGGTCAGCAGATCACGGGCCTGGTTAGCCCAGAACTTCTTGGGCTCGGTAATCGACTCCTTGTACAGCTTCTGGTACTCTTCGAGGTCTACGGACAGGCGCTCGTGGTCAGCGCGTGCCTGAGCAGGGGGCGTTGCGGACGAGCGGAAGAGCATGAAGTGGGAATGGCGTCGCGAGTCGCGACCGAAGCCGGACGACCGCGGCTCCCAGGGCGACGGCGCCGAGGACCGGCGCTGCAGGCGGGGCAGGGTGGACAGGTGGACTTACTGGCAAGGTGGGGCTTGCTTGGGTGCTCTGGCAATCAAAAGGCGTCAGCTTGGGTCATTGGGGGTACAAGCATTGGCGGAGCTTTGACGATGAGAGGTGTCGCTACTCAGGTGGCGCGGTCGCTGCGGAAAGCCATGACCACGCGCCGGGTCGTCACCTCGTCAGGAGGGATGGGGGGATGTCATACTCTCCAGCATCTTCTGGGGAGGATCTGTGCAAGAAAAAAATAGACGCGTTAGCAACACGCCCCGCGGCTCTTGACCAAGCTGTCCGCCTGGGTTTGACGCGGTCAATCTTACGGAACGTGTCCACCTCGTGCGCCTCGTGGACGCGAGGTCCCTTCTGCTCTTCGGCGACCATTCTTGCTGGCGGCTGCGTGCTTGATCTGTGCGCTGCGCGGGGCGGTTTTGCGCTTCACCGACGAGGGGCTGCCGTTTCGATGCTGCTGCTGTGCTGTTACGCGCGCAGTGCAATGCAGTGCAGTGCAGTGCGGGGTAGCTAGCTACCTAATTTTTGTTGCTCCCTGTCAGCGGCTGAACTGGATGCGCTCGCTGTGACGTTGCGCCGGCGCGGTGCACGACAGGAGGTATAAGTCCGCGAAGCAGGGTCGCACGTACTTTGGGCGCGCGCTTGTTCAATGCAAGACGCGGTCCGACGGAACAGCGTTTGCGGGACGAGAAGCTTCTCGCCGACGTTGGCAATGGAGGAGGTGAGGGAGGAGCGACGACAAGAAGTGGAGAGGAGGAGAGGAAGAGGAAGAAGGAGAGGAGCAGATTCGAGGAAGCAGTCGAGGAAGAGAAAGGAGGGTTGCGGCAGAATGGTGGGGGCACGCGAATCTCTTTATACGGTGGAGGCGAAGACGGCGTGGTGGTGCCGTGCGGGTAGGTATTGGGATGGATGTCTCTGCCGGGGGGACGGACGGCTGTGAGAGCAGCATCGGCAAGTGAGGAAGGCACTGATCAGAGGTGAGATGGATGCTCGCTCGGATGCAACGCGGGAGGCAGGGCGGGCAGGGTAGGTACGACGCGGCTGGACGGCCATGTCAGGTACCAAGGGCACGCATCGATGCAGAAAGGGTACCTGGCTACTTCCATTGCAGAATGCGTGAGAGCCTGGTTCCTTCCGTTGCAATCCTCGCCGTATCTGCCCAACGCGGGAAGGTTCAGTCCAGGGCGATGTTGCTCCCCATGCTCCCCGTCCGCCGGCGCGGGCAACAGCGACCGGGCCAGTGCGAGCCAGTCAAGCCAGTGCCAGAAGGTGCAGACGGTCACTGCTACCCCTCCGTGGGGTATGGTGGGCATGGTGGGCATGGTGGGCGGATGGGATGTGAGCTGGATCCATTCGGCGTGGGAGTGGGTGGGTGTCCCGCCGCCGCTCGTTACCTCGACGAGCAACGAGGCCTGCCATGCCCTGTCAGGCAGAGCCTTTGTATTGGGTGTGGTGCAACGCCTCGCCGCGGGCGTGCCTGCGGTGCCCCTCCCGCGGGCGTGCCTGCGCGCGCAGACGGGAGTGGATGGCGATGCAGTGGAGGCAGCGCGCCGGGCCTGGACAAACAGGTGCTGTACGAAGTACTTCCAAGTTGGCCAGCGTGCCTTGCACCCGGTACCCCGTACGGTCACAGGTCACTCACTCACTCACTCACTCACTCACCCACTTCGCTGACGACGACCTGCAGTTTGGCCCAACACAAGATCGGAGTCGCGGGCAGAGAAACGCAAACCTGGAAAGGGCCGGCCCAGCGAGCCGCCAGCTCGGGGCGTCCAATGGGCACCCGACCTACCTGGGTCGTTGGCTCGGGCAGCCGGGGGAAAGGGTGCTGGCGCCATCCCTGCCCCAACGCCTCCGCCGTCGATGCCCGTAGGTCTCATCCTTTCCCCCGAAGCCAGGGTTCCGTCTAGCAGCTCTAGCTCGCCCCCAGCCCGTCCCCCCGTCCACTTTAACCACGGGTATTTGCAACGCAGAGCATCGGCGGTGCGCACCGGCGTTCGTCTGCCAGACGCGGAGAACCGGGAAGCGTCCTCTTTTCGGGAGCCTAGATGCTTGGCCGTATCCCCTTACCCAGAGACTTACCGAGGATCCAGAGTGTTTGCGAGTCGAATCCGGGGACATGGGCCGCCACCTCGTCGACCTCACGGGCCCGATGACAGTTGTGCAACGCGACAGCGGAAGCGCCTCGCCGGCCGCCGGAGCTGCGGATCGCAGCGACTCGCCGTCTGCCGCGCGAGCCACCCGGGGCTGCCGCTGAAACGACCCCCGAGCTCCGTGCCTCGCTCTGTCGGTGCCAACAGGCTCGGCGTCGATGCCAGCTGGCCGCTCGTTGCTCCGCCGCCTCAGACGCGCTCGACACTTGACACCCAGAACTCGGTGCTTATGCCAGGTGCGGGCTATAAAAGGATCTTTGCTCAGCTAAGCCGCTGCAGCCAACCTGCATGTCCAGGTCAGGTTGGCGAGGAGGCGCCCGAATTGCTCGTTTCTGCTGCGGCAGGGATCGCCCAACACACCGTCCACGAGGTTGCACAAGTGCATCCAGATGTCCGGGGCATGCCAGCCGACCTGCGCCGCCTCCGCTCCTTCCCACGCAAAGAAGCGGCGAGGCGATCGAGGCCAGCCCATTCGGCTGTTGCACAAAGACAAGACAGACCCGTGGAACCCGTGGCGACAGCCCTGTCGTTTGGAGCCATGAAGCCGCCGCCTCCCCACTCTGTTGTTGCATGCACCCTGACACTAACCACTCCGTCCGCATCGCGCATCTGCTCAATTTCGACACGGCACGCCGCTATTCGCCCGCCCATGCTGCGGCCCTCGGGAGCCGCGTGGGCGTCTCACAAGGAACCCTGCGGTGCCGTCCCTCTCCACACTTTTAGCCCTGCCTGGGTCGTCAAGGATGGCCGTTGTTGTATGTCAGAGAAAAGAGGCACGGCCATGCGACAGAAAAAGACTCACGCTCAGTCAGGAACCCGCCCCAGTTGTTGTCGCCCGCTCTGGCACTCATCGTGGGGCACGCAGTGTCGCACAGACGAAAGGAATTGCTCGATTCGTCCGCCCGCAGTCGCAAATTTGCCATGGTGCATGTAACGAGACCGGCTGTCGATGACTCCTTCGTAGGGCGCTACAGGATACAACCATGTTTACGGTACGGCACGAGAACCGCCTGCCTGTTTGCCCAGCAACCACTGCGGCTGGGCTTGCGGCGGCCAGTGTCGGCGCTCCAGAGCACAACACTCGTTTGTGCTTCCTGACCGGAGCTGTGGACGCCCGGGGCGCCCTTGATGAGCTCCTCCGTTTCAGGAATGACGGCCTCACTATTTGCGCAACTGACTGATTCGACAGCCCCTCCCTGCCCCTTCTCCGCATTCTATGCCGTCACTCAGCCGCTCCGAGCTGATGTTGGATTTCTTGGCCTGCGTAGAAGCTGCACGCTGAGTCGGGGACTCCTGGTATGCGATGTTGTTTACCCGGTCACCCCGGACTGTCCGTGATTGGCACCCGGTGGCCCGGGAAGAGACCGGCAGGGTGGGCGGCAGCATGGGGGAGGTTGGATTTGGATTAAAGCCTCTACTGAACCGCTCTGCGGCGGCCAACAGGCAACACCTACAAATATGTAAGGGCATAGGGCCGAGGTGAGCATGCACGCCGCCCCGGATGCCCAGATTTCGCCACGTCCGCCGGTACCAGGTACCTGACTGCGAACACGATGCCAAGGGCGACGCCTCTGCCGCTTGGGGCATCGATGGTTGGAGATCCTGTTCCCATGACCCCCCGCGCTGCGCCACCGACTCTGTCTTTACGTCTTGGTCCGAAGGGGGGTTGCCAAAAGCCGGACGAACGATGGAATGAGCCAAACCTTCTTTTCGTCCCAAGCGGATGCGTCTGGAAAACGTCAAGGACGCCATTGTCGCCCACGATGGTGGTTTGGCGTAAAGCCACCGGCGTAGATGGCGAGGCCACTGACGACCGTCACACAGGGTACCTGGCGATGTCCATCGCAAGCCCAGCCAAAAGGTGTACCATCGGGGCAGATATGTCTCACACATGTCCGCAGCTATCGGGCTACCAGCTGGAATCTCTGGGGACTGGTCCAAGCACGGCAGATGGTCTTGATCCTCGACTGGACAGGGTAAGCCTGCCTCCAGGGTAGGCAGGTATCGCTGGACAGACCACCGCGACTCACCGAGCCGCTTCCTTTTCTTGTTTGCATCGTCGGCCAACGGGGCAGAGGCGACTCCCCTCGCGCGGGTGCCTGCGCCCGACGCCGGACTCAGCGTGGGAGCGTCTTGTTGGGTTTGAGCAAGTCAAGCCACGCCAGACGTGCATGCTGGGCACCCCACACTGGGGTCTCGCCAGCCGGCCCAGCCAGACTGCTAATAATGGAACGTTCAGATCAGATAGTGATAGTCGACGGAACTCTCGTCGTAGCCGAGAAACCAACGGCTAGTCACTGAATCGAGGTGGCTCACTCCCAGCTTGCTCAGTGTCGTCCAAACGGCTTGTTATCGTACATGAGAATGCCTAGCTGCGCCGAGGGCGACAGAGCGGGCGGCCCTGCCGTCTCCCAGAGCACGAACCACCCGACTCCCTTGAGTCCAAGATGGATACACTCGGATGGCGCAGCTGCGAATTACACTCGGACCAACACCCCCATGAATCGTGGGCGTTGTGCCTGCCGCTAGGGGCATTGAGCGTATCTGCTGCTCGTGGTTTTCGCCCTTTCTCGCTATCCTGTCCTCACCTGCTTGAACGACTTCAACGACGGGGATAGATGCGTCGACACCGGCCCCGATGGAGATCCCGATCATCATCCTGACACTGGCATCCACGGCCTGGTCAGCGAGCCCACTATGCTACTGGCCGAACGGAGACGTCGCCATCGGCCAGTTCCCGTGTGGCACCGGCGGCCACTCGACGTGTTGCGCGACGGGCTACGCGTGCCTCAACAACCACATGTGCCTGGCGGTGACGGACGAAGCCTTGATAAAAGGGCCGCTGTACGCGCGAGGCGCTTGCACGGATTCCTTCTGGGAGAGCTCCAACTGCCCGAGCTTTTGCAGGGCGACTGGCTACGATGTTTTGAACGGGCAGCAGGTCATGCACAGGTGTGACAACAACGACTTGCTCTTTTACTGCGAGTCGCGGTCGAAGCCCGACTGCCAGCACACTCAGCGGGTGATTGTCTATTCGAGTCAGTCAGCTTCCAGAGGCGTGGCAGCGTCTATCTGTTTGAGACACGTTACTGACTGGAGATCCGATAGCGACGCCCACTCCTCAAACGACCATCACGGCGACCGCGCAGAACCTCGGGGTGACTGGCCTGGGGACGTCAACTGGGACCCCGGCAAGCGCAACGCCAACGACGTCGAATCCCGTGGCCAGTGATTCGTCGAGCAGCAACGGCGCGAAAATCGGCATAGGGGTTGGCGTCACACTTGGTGTTCTAGGGCTCATCGCTGGCCTCGCGGCCCTCTTCATCATGAAGCGGCGTCGGGGCCGCGGACCAAATGGCGGGTCCCAGCAGAATATCCCGGTGCAGGAGCTGCCGGCCGACCCTATATTGCCGCCGGCCTCCATGACCGCCTCGCCGCCTCCTTCGAGCCCTCCTCCGGTGTTTTGGCCGAGCGACTGCAAGACGCCGTACACGCCCTCGTCGATTACGACCGCAGAGCCTTGGTCGCCGAACAGGCAGGAACTTCCGGGGCACTGACAGCGCCGATGAACTTGAGTTGGCGGTTTGGGTATTATCGCGAGAGAGATTATTGTGTGATGTTGGCAAATGGTGGTTAGGAGGGGCGGCGTTGGAGCGGCAATAATTCGTGTATATTTTACGGAGTACAGTACTTTCGGATGTGACATTGCGGACAGCTAATGAGATATGATCTTGCCTCAAATCGCCACTTTATCTTCGAGCCATGGAAGCCCCTCGTGATGCTCCTCGCCGTAGTCGTAGTACCTCTTCCGGACCACTGCGATTTTACATGCGGCGGAACGCCGGAGAGCCATCGTCGCCAACTCACGCTGTGCCAGATCTCCGACGCGACTGAAGACGACAACTCGCGAGTTAGACGGGCGCCGCCAAGCTCGCCGTCGTCCTTTGCCGGGATCACGGGCGCTACCTACCTACCCACGCAGCGCAGCGCGGCAACGTCTCAGCTCTCTCTCATCACTGCTCAGAGACTGGCGTGAGCGTTCCGCAGACGTCCGCCGCACGTTGGACGGCACACGCACGAGGAGCAACACCACACTGCGCGCGAGCGAGCGAGCGAGCGCCGCCCACGCGCAGCACGGGACACGCAACGCCCCAAGGACCCTGCACATGTCTGCATGTGCGTGTATCGTGCGGGCAGAAGGGAAATGCCCCCTCCCCGCCGTGTCACAGCCCGTCTGAGCAGCTGCATGTCTAGGCTGCCGTGCCTCTTCTTCCCTCTCTCTGTCCCTCCGTCTCTCTCCTTCTCATGCGCGCGCTCTCTCGTCTGAATCGAGGTGACTTGTGACAAGAGAAAAGAGTCTCGAGGCCTTTTTGTCTTGGCTTGAGGGGCACGATTTGGGCGTCACACATGGGCGGGGCTTTGCGCGGAGTATGTATGAACATGTATGTCTGGCAACGCCACGGTATGCATGCGTGAGGTTGTGAGGGGTGGGTATATAGACGCGGGAGAAGAGGCCAGACGGTGACATGTCTTGGGCTTGTCGTCGCCCGCAGAAAGTGAGGTCGCGTACCGATACCAAGAAGAAATAGCCGTACGAAGCGCCATAGACGATGGCATTTTCAATGAGTAGTGCTATTTGTAGAGCCGACTTTTGCTATTATGTAGTTGTAGAGCATATAGGAGCAATAGCAGCGAGAGCAACGAGAGCAACGAGAGCAACGAGAGCAACGAGAGCAAC